AAAAAAAAAAAAAAAAAAAAAAAAAAAAAAAAAAAAAAAAAAAAAAAAAAAAAAAAAAAAAAAAAAAAAAAAAAAAAAAAAAAAAAAAAAAAAAAAAAAAAAAAAAAAAAAAAAAAAAAAAAAAAAAAAAAAAAAAAAAAAAGCAATAAAATCATAATCCATGCCTAGCTGGATTAAATTGGATTAAAGCTAGCAAGCACTCAGGGGGCAAATTTATTAGTTTTTGTTGTGATCAGCCATGATACTTTAAATTTGACAAGAGAGTTTTATTGGAAAATTTACTAATTATTTAGTTAAAGCATATGATTAGCAAAACAGATGTCAGAAAGCTGTTTGAAGTTAACCAAAAAAGCTTCAGGTATCTCTATGATTAGAGTACTCTGGTACATAGTAGCAAAACTAGTATGTCTACATGAAAACTAAGGCAATTGCAATTGCAAATAATAAATGTTGCTGTAAAATCTGAAAGTGAAATATGATTGCTATATACCTACCTTTAACCTGTACTAAAGACAATGAGCAAAACACAAACTGAATAAAACATGCAATGAATGACACTTTGAGCCTAAAACCTACGGGGACACCGTATAGTTTTAATTTAACTCAATATTAAACACAAGATATTTTCACTAATGTTTTCAAATATCCCTAAATAGTGCAATTTGCTGCAAAACCCTCGTTCCAAAATTATTGGCACCCTTGAATAAAACATGCCTTCCCTGAATAAAATAACAGAGTCTCTTCCTGTAATGTCTGGTTGCAGAGGACTCTTGGTCACAGAACAGTACAAGCTCCATTGTACATGTGAACTTTCCTCTTCAATACAATACATGTTGTCAGCAGGGTTCAAATCTGAAGACAGATACAATTGCATCTGGGGCTTAAGCTCATTCTTGAGGATCACCCATGCTGAGCCAATTATCCCCAATAAGCCACCCTTTGTGAGACAATCCCTAGCCTATTTCAAGTTAAAGTAAACAAATTATAGGCACCTGGTAGTGTAGAGTTTCACACTGCTTTGTAGAGAAATGGTTCTATTTAAAATTAGTTTTATTTCAAATATGTTTTCCATCATTCAAGGCAGTTGTTAAACGTTGTGTTTATATATTTGGGGCCATATTCAGAGTTGGTGACTGTCCAAAAGTTACATCAATATTTACACAGGCAAATTTGCACATATCCGGGCTTCATCTATTCACCTGCTCCAATTTTCTGTGTGCACAATTCAGATTATTCAAAATCACCTGCATGTAGTTCACGCCTCTGAGTTTGCCATATTTTCTTGAGTAGAGGTGTCTAAAATGTTTTTTTTTTTTTCAAATGTTTTTTTTGGACAACTCCTTTTAGACACAGGCATTTCCCTTTAAACCTGAGAAAATGCACATTGAAGGAAATAGCCTAGCAATCACTGCAAAATTTGGTTGAATTTAACAATTCAATTCAATTTGTATAGCGCTTTTAACAATGGACATATAATGGATTCAAAAAAATATAAATGGATTCAAAAAATATATTGTAAATATATGAATTTATCCCTAATGAGCAAGCCAGAGGCAACAGTGGCAAGGAAAAACTCCCTGAGACAATATGAGGAAGAAACCTCGAGAGGAACCAGACTCAAAAACGGAACCCATCCTCATCTGGGTGCTAACAGATAGTGCGATTATAAATAAATCCCTTCTATAACAGTGTACTATATGGACAAATAGTGCAAATGTGCAACCAGTAAACAATATGGCTTCTGTAAAGAAAATGTGGCTACAGTTTGAAGGATAAACTAACTGAGTACTCATCTGCTATGTACAAGCGTTAACATTAATTTAGCAATTTGTCATGAAATAACGAGGAAACAGGCCACACCTGGCCATGAAACTGCTTATCAGTCAATTGTGCAATTAGTTTTAAGCCTGTGAAAATGGAGGAACTATGTAAAAATGGATGTAATTCCTAAACGGTTCATCCAATATTTTTGTTAAACCCCTTGCATTAAAGCTGAAAGTCTACACTTCAATCCCATCTTGATTGCTTCATTTAAAATCCATTGGGGTGGTGTACAGAGGCAAAATTAAGAATATTGTGTCACTGTCCAAATACTTACGGAGCTGACTGTATATTCTGATGTCAACTCCATAGACTAACAAGTATTTAAGTAGGGTTAAAAGTTTGTGTATTTTGCATTCAAATTTAAATTGGGCAAGAGCAAGCTATCAATATTTTTTTTCACTCTTGATGTATGTTCTTTTGACAAATCCATGTCTATTCTTTAAATTGTTTTAGCAATCTCTAAATTATTTTAGCTTGTGCTCTGCAAGTTGATAGGTCTGATTGGGGTGGGGGACAAATAAGATGTCGTTTAGGGCCCCAAAGGTTCAGAAACAGTTCTGGGCATCATTATAAATAGCTATGATGCCTCCTCATCTGATGCCCTGGAGATGTCCTGGAGTTGACTGTAATTGTCACTTATAAGCTTTTATTTGTTTATTGTTATTTTGCAATTACATTTGCAAATACACTCACCATCCACTTTATTAGGAACACGTGTACACCTGCACATTCATGCAATTATCTAAACAGCCAATTGTGTGGTAGCAATGCAATGCATACAATCATGCAGATACTGGCCAGCAGCTTCGGGTAATGTTCACATAAACCATCAGAATGGGGAAAAAATGTCACTTCAGTGATTTTGACCATGGCATGACTGTTGGTGCCAGACAGTCTAGTTTGAGTATTTTATAACTGTTGATCTCCAGGAATTTTCACACACAAAAGTCTCTAGAGTTTACACAGAATGGTGCAATAAAGAAAAAATCCAATGAGCGTCACTTCTGTGGACAGAAATGCCTTGTTGATGAGAGAGGTCAGTGGAGAATGGTCAGATTGGTTTGAGCTGACAGAAAGGCTACAGCAACTCAGATAACCACTCTGTACAATTCAGAACAACAAAAAAAAAACATCTCAGAATGCGCAACATATCGAACCTTAAGGCGGAAGGGCCACAACAGAAGAAGACCACCTGACTTGTGTGAACAGTCCAGGCTGGTGGGGGTGGTGTAATGGTGTGGGAAGTTTTCTTGGCACATTTTGGGCCTGTTAATACCAATCAATCATCATTTCAATGCCACAGCCTATTTGAGTATTGTTGCTGATCATGTGCCACAATTTACCCATCCTCTAATGGCTACTTCCAGCCATCTCAAACTGGTTTCATGAACATGACAATGAGTTCAATGTCCTTCAGTGGCCTTCCCAGTCACCAGATCTGAATCCAGTAGAACACCTTTGGGGTGTGGTGGAAAAGGAGATTTGCAGCATGAAAGTGCACCTGAAATATCTGCAGTAATTGCGTGATTCAACCATGTCAACATGGACCAGAATCTCAAAGGAATATTTCCAACATCTTGTGGAATCCATGCCATAAAATATGAGGCTGTTTTGAGAGCAAAGGGAAGCCCTCCCCAGTTTTAGTATAGTGCTCCTAATAAAGTGCTCAGTGAGTGTATATTGCAAAATTTGGCAATTAATATTCTTTTTTGTAGACTGTTTGCCAGAATTACAGTTTTAGACAATTTATAGTAATTACGTTGTGATAAACTGTACAGTTTTACCTCTGGTGTCCCCTACAGCTCAGAGAAGATGGCCACGACAATATTATGAAGGAAAACTACAGGGGGTAGAAAAATGGACATACATATATACATATAATATATAAAAATATCCATTAAAAATGTTAAGAACCTACTAAGGAGAAGGGCAACCCTATGCCGCTAGAACAGCTTTAATCTTTCTTGGAACGCTGTTGTACAATCCTGAATTGTTTGTGGTGCGATGTTACACCATTCTTTATGAAGAAAATCTTTCCTTGAGGGATGAATGAGGGATGAAGGACATCACCAGGAGGGTTTGCAACATAGTGTGCACCTGGTGCTATAAAATTGGCTGGTATTTGTTGGCTGTTATATGACCATACAAAGCAATATTAGGACATAATGATTTCCATGACATGGCCACTCATACCATTATGGGTCACCCAGCAGACTTAACAGTTGGCAGCAGACATTGTGGGTTGAAGGCATCTTTTGCCTTACTCCAAAGATACATACATACCTGCATCCAGATTTTTGAAATATTGAAAAAGGTCACACAAAGATACAAGAGTTAACTATAACTGTTTTCAGTCACCCAGACCTTGTTGAATGTTACGCTGAGTGTGAGCTGACTTGAAATGAGAGATGTAAACATGTCAGGACAGTAAGTAGGTGGTGTTGCAGGGCTCAGCTTGTCTTCACATATGAAGTGCCTTTAAGATCCATCCATCCATTTTCCATACCACTTATCCTACACAGGGTTGGGGGTAGCCTGAAGCCTATCCCAGGTTACTTGGGGCACAGGGACAGGGACCCAACCCATCGCAGGGCACAATCACACACACACACACCCCACGGACAATTTGGAAACACCAATCGGACTACAACGCATGTCTTTGGCCTGGGGAAGGAAACTGGAGTATCCAGAAGAAACCCCCAAAGCTCGGGGAGAACAAGCAAGCTCCACACATACAGGGCAGAGGTGGGATTCAAACCCCCAACCCCGGAGGCGCAAGGCAAGCGCGCTAACCACTAAGCCACTAAGCCACCATGCCCCCACTGTTAATAATAATTAATTAAGACACCATTCGAGTACTGACATACTGTCTATTATTTAATATGGTAGTATGCACTTAACAAGTAAAAACACAAGCTCTCTTGAAGAGGGCTTGCGTAGATGTGTTCATTCAGCACACTGTTTTCACAGGGCTCTGGTTTGAGTTTGCTCGCTCCGTGCAGTACTGGTTGCAGTGCTAAAGGGTGGTGAGTTAGCCAGCAAGTGTTATGTAAATAGCTAAAGCACAAGCTATTTTTCAAGGAGAAAAGGTTTTTGTCTGTTTGCACAACGCTACAGAGTGAGTTCCCCTTCAGGAACTCGAGCTGCGTCGAAACGCTATGGGAACACCCCCAGCGTGACCACGCTCTGAATCACGTGTGCAATCAGTCCAATGGATGGGCGAGACATCACGGGCGGGGTGACGTAGCGACCCGGAAGCTTAAAAGCACGTACGGTGGATACAGCGGCAGCTTTCTGTCATTCAGCAAGCGCTCTGTGTGTGTCAGTCTGATTTTGTATTGTCTGTCTTTCAAAGCATTATGTCAAAAGCGATTAAAAAGACAAAACATGAGGGCGAGAGCGGGCAGCGTTTTAGGCTGTGCGTTGTCTGCTTGGGAGCAGAGCATGCAAAGTCGGCTCTCGAGGGAGCCGGCTGCCCGCATTGCGAGCGTTTGCCGCTGCGTGCGCTTTGCTCCCGGAAGGCTCTCTTTGAGGAGGGAGCCTTCGCCAGCGTTCCTCGCGGTGCTGGCCCCGCTTCTGCCGAGGCAGAGTGGCGGTTACACTCGTGGGGTTCTCAAATGGATTTCTTCTTCCTCACCCGCCAGATCCACTGCCCGCTCTCTGGGATCGGAAGCCCGCTCTGCGGTTTCTTCCCCGCGGGGAGTGGGCTCGGCACTCCGCCTGTCTTCCTCCGAGGAGGTTGACGTGGAGGGCGCCGATGAGGATTCGCCCCCTCAATCTCCCCAGTATGAGGAGCTGTTGGAGGTGGTTACTCGTGCCATGGCCAAGCTAAACATTGACTGGCCCGCCGAGAAATGGGCTGAACCACAGAAAAGCAAGCTTGATGAACGCTTTCTGCGGAGTAAGCCGCCTCCTCCACGCCGGAGCCTGCCTTTCTTCCCCGACCTCCACACCGAGGTGTCAAGGTCGTGGGGGAGGCCTTTTTCGGCCCGTATATTCAGTCCCGCCTCTAGTTATTATGCCAATGTGGCGGTGCTGGATGATCACGGTTACAGGGCGATGCCCAAGGTTGAACAGACGCTTGCGAGCTATCTGTCCCCGGTGCAGCATCGTCCCTGAAGGCTCCGGCACTGCCCTCCAAGCTGCTGCGGACCACCTCAGCGCTGGTGAGCAAAGGGTACACGGCAGCAGGTCAGGCTGGTGCTTGCTTGCACACCATGGCGGTTTTGCAGGCTTACCAGGCCGATCTGCTAAAAGAGCTAGACAAGGGCGTGGAGATTACGTCCAAGCATGTCACCAAGCTCAGACGAGCCGCCGATCTGTCTCTCCGTGCCACCAAAGAGACCGCCCGCGCTATTGGCAGGTCCATGGCAGCACTGGTGGCGGCGGAGAGACATCTGTGGTTGACCCTGTCCGATATGAAAGAGAAGGACAGGGTCTTCCTCATGGACGCCTGCGCCTTCTGGCCTGTTCGGCGACGCCGTCAGTTCCGTCATCGAAAGGTACCAGGAGGCTCGTACACAGGCGGCGGCATTCCAGCGGTTCCTCCCTCGCCGCTCTCTAGCTCTTGGGGCTGCCGGGCGGGAGCAGCTCCCTCCGTGTGCCAGCTCCTCATATCGGGAGGCCGGGGTCTTCTAAGGCGAAGCCGGATCTGCGAACCGTTCTTCTGTCTAAGAGGACCTCGGCCAAGAAGTCCTGATGCTTGTGGCCCAGGACTTCGGAGGGCAGGCCCCTTCTGTTGAAGAACGGTGTACACCTCATCATACGGTGCCCGTCTCTCCTCAGTGCCCTCGGGAGATCGACCTGCCAACCCTGCCACCCATGGTGCTTCAGGGCGCAGCGGTCTCTGGCGAGCGCTTCTCTCAGTTTCCGCCCAGGAACGTAGCGGTACTGGGAGGCTCGCTACCTCTTTGGAGCTCTCCAGAGCAGCAAAAGTCCCCTGCTGGTCCGCCGCTTCAGGGCACTGAGCTAGCTGCTCTCATTACACCAGAGGTCAGTCTCAAGAGACTGATTCCCTTAGTAGACTATTTTGCGGCGTGGAAACTTCTGCCAAATGTGTCTCAATGGGTCCTGCATACTGTAGAGAGAGGCTGCCGAATCCAATTCGGTTCTCCACCGCCTCGTTTTTGCGGGGTTCTTCCCACACTGGTGGGCCCCGAGCAGGCTCTGGTAATGGAACAGGAAGTACACACTCTCCTGAGGAAGGAGGCCATCGAGGTGGTCCCTCCTCACGACAGAGAGTCCGGGTTCTACAGCCGGTACTTCATCGTTCCGAAGAAGGGTGGAGGGTTGCGTCCCATTTTAGATTTGCATCATTTGAACCGCTCAGTCATGCGACTTAAGTTCAAGATGCTCACAATCAAACAGGTCGTGTCTCAGATCAGGTCCGAGGACTGGTTTGTCACGATCAATCTAAAAGACGCATATTTCCATGTCTCCATCCTTCCCCAACACAGGAAGTTCCTGAGGTTTGCTTTCGGGGGCGACGCTTACCAATATTGGGTTCTTCCGTTCGGCCTGGCACTCTCACCCCGCACTTTCACGAAGTGTGTGGATATACTGAATTATATCGACGATTAGCTCAATCGGAGCAGGCGGCGGTTCGGCATCGAGATGTCGTTTTCGCCCACATGAAAGAGCTGGGTTTGAGACTAAACGCCGTGAAAAGTGTGCTTTCTCCAGTACAGAGAACCACTTATCTGGGCGTGATGTGGGATTCGACCACGATGCAGGCACATCTGTCTCCTGCTTGGATCGAGTCGATCCTCACAGCAGTCACGAGAGTATGAGAAGGCCGGTCACTCACTGTAAAGCAGTTCCAGAAACTGCTGGGTCTGATGGCAGCTGCGTCCAACGTGATACCTTTTGGCCTGCTGTGCATGAGACCCCTACAGTGGTGGCTCAAGACCAAGGGGTTCTCCCCGAGGGGAAGCCCGCTCAGCATGATCAAGGTCACGTGGCGGTGCCTACGTGCCTTAGACATGTGGAGGAAACCTTGGTTCTTGTCCCAGGGTCCGGTGCTCGGAGCTCCTTGTCGCCGCATAACGCTAGCGATGGACGCATCTCTCACCGGATGGGGAGCTGTCATGAGTGGCCGCTCAGCTCGCGGTCTGTGGAGCGGCTGCCATCTCACGTGGCACATCAACTGCCTGGAGATGCTGGCCATGTTTCTAGCATTGAAACACTTTCTCCCGGACCTAAGAGATCGCCATGTGTTGGTGCGCACCGACAACACAGCGGTGGTCTCTTACATCAACCACCAAGGAGGTCTGCGTTCGCGCCTCCTTTACAGGCTGGCGCACCAGATCCTTGTGTGGTCCCAGGGGAAACTCCTCTCGCTGAGAGCAGTTTACATCCCTGGACATCTCAATATGGGAGCAGACGCTCTGTCGAGGCAGAGGCAGGGACGAGGCCCGGGGAATGGAGGCTCCACCCCGACGTGGTGAAGCAGATATGGAGAATGTTTTGCCAGGCTCAGGTGGATCTGTTTGCGACTCAGGAGACATCGCACTGTCCCCTCTGGTTCTCTCTGACTCATCCAGCTCCTCTCAGACTGGATGCCATGGTACAGACTTGGCAGAGGCTGCGTCTGTACGCCTTTCCCCCGGTTGCTCTGCTCCCGGTTCTGGAGAGAGTGCGCCAGGACGGGGTCCGTCTGTTGCTAGTAGCCCTGTTCTGGCCAGGCCGAGTATGGTTCTCGGACCTGATTTCCCTTCTTGACGGCTCTCCATGGGAGATTCCCGTCAGGAGGGACCTCCTCTCACAGGCAGGGGGCACCATCTTCCACCCCCGCCCGGAGTTGTGGAAGCTGTGGGTGTGGCCTCTGAGGGGGCACAACTCGTAGCTTCTGGTCTCTCAGCCGAGGTTGTTGAGACCATTCTCCAATCCAGAGCTCTCTCGATGAGGAAACTGCCTTGAGGTGGAAACTTTTCACTTCTTGGTGCGGAGACCGCCGGTTCGACCCAGTTCACTGCCCAGTTGGTACAGTGCTGGAGTTCCTGCAGGCCCGTTTCTCCGCAGGGTTGACCCACTCCACCTTGAAGGTCTACGTGGCAGCCATTGCGGCCTACCACGCCCCTCTCGGTGGTCAGTCTGTGGGCAGACACCTCTTAGTTACACGTTTCCTCCGAGGCCTCCGGTGCGATCTCGTGTCCCTCCGTGGGACCTGGCTGTGGTGTTAGAGGCTCTCTGTAAACCCCCTTTCGAGCCTATAGAGGGGATTTCTGATCGTCTTTTCACTATAAAGACTGCCTTTCTTCTGCCGATTTCCTCTCTTAAGAGAGTTGGGGATCTACAGGCCCTCTCTGTGGCCCCCTCTTATTTAGACTTTGCGCCTGGTATGGCCAAAGCGTTTCTCTACCCTCGAGCGGGTTATGTACCTAAAATTCCCTCCTCTACACCACGCCCGGTCGTACTCCAGGTCTTCTGCCCTCCTCCCTTTCGGGAGCCTGACCATCAGAGGCTGCCCTGTGGAGAAGGGCGGATCAATTGTTTGTGTGTCAGTCGGTGGATCGTGGATGCCATCTGTCTAGCCTATGAGTCCTCTGATCTCCCCTCTCCCTTGGGGGTCAAGGCTCACTCTACCAGAAGTGTGGCGGCCTCCAAGGCCTTTTTGGCAGGTGTGTCTATGCAGGACATCTGCAATGCTGCAGGTTGGTCCATGCCCCTGACGTTCGCCAGGTTCTATGGCCTCGATATGCGAGCCGCTCCGGGCACTTCTGTTCTCTTGCCCTAGCTGTGCTCTTTCACTCTAGGCAGGGATTCGTAAGTCTGGCGGCGTGGGCATACTCGTTCCCATAGTGTTTCGACA